TTGTTTCTATCACGTACACTGATTTCGTCGTTATTTTGTTTCTATCACGTACACTGATTTCGTCGTCATTTTGTTTCTATCACGTACACTGATTTCTTTGTTATTTTGTTTCTATCACGTACACTGATTTCTTTGGTATTTTGTGTCTATCGCGTACACTGATTTCTTCGTTATTTTGTTTCTATCACGTACACTGATTTCGTCGTTATTTTGTTTCTATCACATACACCGATTTCGTCGTCATTTTGTTTCTATCACGTAAAATAACGAAGAAATCAGTGTACGTGATAGAAACAAAATAACGACGAAATCAGTGTACGTGATAGAAACAAAATAACGACGAAATCAGTGTCTTTCTATCACGTACACTGATTTCTGCGTTATTTTCTTTCTATCACGTACACTGATTTCTTCGTTATTTTTCCCAGTCAAGGTGACATGAATTGAGTCACCATGTTGCAAGAGGGTTAAAGAAAAAATTGTAAGTTATCTATTGTTGTTAAGGTATTTTTTTAGAAGAAACCTTAGTTAATTTAATTACTAAATTTTTTTTTTATAGAAGTACTGTTCCCAAGGTTCACCTACAAGAAATGGTGCTACGTTACTGTTGCTAAGATTTTTATAGATAAAGCAGAAACTTACACCTCTCTTCCTGTCTTGAATTAATTTTTTTTTAAATTTAAAGATTACAAAACGGTATAGCAACATTTGTTGTGGGTCAGGTTTGTTGTTTTATAAAATATAATTTTTCAGATCCTTCTTATAGTTTCCAGTTGTTCCAGGGCTCTTCACTGAATGTCTTTGTACTTTTTTGTATAGCAGGGAAAGAAGAAAGGACAGAAAAGTGGTCGAAATAAAAAAGCTAACAAAAACAAAAATACCCAGAGGAAAAACAACAAAAAGTCGAATGTCCCCAATACGGGTAATGACTTGTCTGCTAAGATTTACGCCACCATGGAGAAACACAAGGAGGTAAGTAAACAATAGTTTGATTTATTGAAAACAATAAATACAACTGAAATTGCGGGTTAGTCTTAAAAATTCCAGGACGAAAATGTTACGAGAATACTTTTTTTTTTAAACTACGCTGTAAATGTTTTGTTACAAAACAAATTAACTCATTTGTATAAAGTGAAAAAATACATTTCTCACTGCTGCTTTGCCTCAAGCTTGTTGAAACAGATGCTTTGTGTAATAAAAAATTTTATAGTAGATATTCATTGAAAAAGTACCTTGTTCCAGAGTTTAAAACGGCTGTTAATAAATGGGTATTAAACGTAGATACTTATGTGGTTCATTGTTTAGATATATATAATTACATGTCTTATTACATAAGTTCTTCCACTGTTAACAAGTTCTGAACTCTGCCATCTGTGTGGGGGTAGAAAATAGAATGATTATTGATTAGTCTGAAACTATCAAATCTGGATGGAACGGAAAGTATAATAAGCACTTAACATTCGTGGCTGGAGTCTTTGACAGATGAGCATCCATGTTAGGTTAATTGTTATCTATCACACTTGACTGTAAGGTGTTACCAGGGTTGTAGCATTACTTATCATGATGTTTTGTTTCTGATAGGTATTCTTTGTAATCCGGCTTCATTCGGCTCAAGCAGCTGCCAGTTTGCCACCTATCCAAGATCCGGATCCCATGATCAACTGTGATTTGATGGATGGAAGAGATGCATTTTTAACTTCGGCACGAGAGAAACATCACGAATTTTCTTCGTTACGACGTGCCAAGTACTCGACCATGGCCATGTTGTACGAGTTACACAACCAAGGACAAGATCGATTTGTGTACACCTGTAACAGTTGCAAAGCTCACGTGGAGACCAGATACCACTGTACTGTTTGTGATGTATGTAACACTTTTTTCTGCTCTGATTCCAATAGAAATGTTACTTGTTCAGTTGGTTGCAGTATCCCAGTTTTTGGGCTCTGTGTAAAATTTTTTAACCTTCAATTTTGTTTCCTTCTGCATCTAGGACTTTGATCTCTGTATACCCTGTTTCAAAAAAGAAGGCCATCCTCACAAAATGGAGAAACTTGGTTTTGACCTGGATGATGGTTCTGCCGCTTCTGATCAGAAACAGGCTAACCCACAAGAATCTCGTTGGCAGTCTATCCAGAGGTGCATCCAGTCCCTTCTTCATGCTTGTCAGTGCCGTGACGCCAATTGTCGCCTACCCAGCTGTCAGAAGATGAAACGTATCGTGCAACATTCAAAGATCTGCAAACGCAAAAATGGCGGCTGTCCCGTTTGTAAACAGCTTATAACGTTGTGTTACTACCACGCAAGACATTGTCAGGTTTGTGAGATTTTAAATATTTTAAAAGAATACTTTATAAACAATACATATATATATATATATATATATATATACTACATTGTGTTACTACCATGTCAGGTTTGTGAGATTTTAAATGTTTTAAAATAAAAAAACTCTATAAACAATATATATCATTGCTGGTGAAAAACTACGATATTTCAGCTGTTTCCTTAGTCGCTTAAATTATTTAAATGTTTGATTTTGTTTGCTCATGTTTCTTTTTAATTGCAATCCATGGCATTGATCACCCTAACTAAGTTCTTAAATGTGTTGCTATTTTCTGACTGTTTACACTGTTTTGTTGCTTTTAGGCTAAAAGAAAAGTGACAAGTAACAACTTAGTTTTCAATGATAAGTTATTGCAGTGAGAGCTGTGGAATTGATTATAATTTGTCTGTAAAAATGTTTTTTTTCTACTATCAGGTTTTTAAACTTACTTCTGTATAAGTTCAGTAGAAACTACAGTTAACATTTTGCAAAAGGATTAGAATTTAAATATTTATAATATACTCAGAAAATGAAAGAGTAATTATTGTTTATCTGGAGATAACACCAGAAAAAATTGTTTAGTAAAATAAAAAGAAATCGGGTAATAGATAAGGGTTAGTTCCTTTTTACTGATAAAAATAATTACTTTTTTCTATCAAAAAAATAGATGATAGAGGGAGGATTGGAAGAGATTTTATACTGATATAAATAACCACTAGATTAATAAATCCAAATATTTTGAAGAAAAACTTTTCATTATTGTAGCTGGTTCTTCTCCAAATTTCTTCTGTTATCAAAAATCCTAACTCCACTTCTGACGGGTTTTCTCTGCTGTTTGTGGGATACTTTTTTTGTGATTTCTAAGGCTACTAAACAAATATTTTTTTTTTAAATACTTAATTGTATTTAATTATTGTAAGTCTGCCATTAAGGAATTTTGTATAATATATATTTTATCTAATAACTTTTAATGATACCTAGTTACCAATACTTACTGCCACTCGGCTGTTTATGATTATAGTAGGTTTTTTTTATACATTTATTTTTATGGTAAGGCGAGGATTTTATATCTGCATTTTTGTACCATTTATGTGCTCCAGGTAATAATTTTAAATAAAGATGTATTTAGAATTTTTTTTTTCTTTTTCAGCATTTTTACTTTGGTTTCATGATCTTTTAAAAAAAAATCATTTTCCAGTGTTAAATGTTCGTAGAGTATGTTCCTTTTCTTAAATAGGAACAGTTCTATTCAGTATTTAAGTGGCATTAAATGATTCAAAGTGTTTGTTCTCGTTTTGTTATTTTATGTCCCCCAGCAGGTCAGCTGTAAGTTTACAGACACACAGTGCTAATATCTGGGGTTCAATTCCTCATGCTGAACAAAGTAAAGATGGCCCAGTTTATAGCTTTTTACTGAAACAACTATTTTATCTTGTTATTGGCATGAATGAGAAATTAGTTAGTTCATTGGATCAAAGTTTTTCTATATTTCTATAGGAGTTTTTATTGACTACTCCTTTGTTGTATCTCTTTTAAAAAAAATATAAGATCTGTATTGGGTTTTGATGTGTTTCAGGGTATCAGTAAGTTAAAAAAAACTGTTTTTTTCTTTGACCAACTTTATTTATATGAAATTACTTCCGTTTTCCAGGAAGCAAAGTGTCTGGTTCCTTTCTGTCTGAACATTAAACACAAGCTTCGCCAGCAACAGCTACAGCAAAGAGTACAGCAAGCCCAAATTCTCCGTCGACGAATAGCGAGTATGGCCACGATGCAAAATCGACCAGTGGCAGGTCAGCTTCCCCAGCCCAGCTCATCGTCTAGTGAACCGTCATCAGAAGCCTCGACACCGAGCCACGTACATCCGCCGGGTGTCGGGTTAAAGCCAACAACAACGGGTCCTCCAGCAGGTGCTCTTCAAGCTGTCCAAGCAGTTCAGGCTGCAGCAGCAAGACAGCAGACCCCACACTTGGTCGGTGCCGGAGCTTACCAAAAAGGTGGCCCCATGACTCCATCTCCCACAAATGGAAATACTTTGATGACCAACACTCAAGGTCAGCCTCAGATGGTACAGCTGACCCAAAGTAGGTTAGTTGGATTAAACAACAACAATCGGTGGGATGGACCTCAACCTACTTATGCTCAACAAGTTCCACCACAGCAGACTCAAATGGGCGACCAGCAGCTGGGGATACAGCAACCAGCACAGATGATGGGGTCGGCTCCCGGAAACCCTTCGGTCACCATGGGTCCCCCGGGCATGCAGCGTAATGCTCACGTACCTCAGGGATTGCCCCAGTTATTGCAGATGTTACGCCTCCCTTCTTCTCCTCAGCAGCATCAAAAAGTATTACAGATGTTAAAGACAAACCCTCAGCTCATGGCTTACTTCATTAAACATAGGAATGCGCAGCAACAGCAGCAGCAACATCAACAGCAACAACATCAGCAGCAGCAACAACAACATCAACAGCAGCAACAACAACAACAAATGATGGTCACTGGACAAACAAGCGGTGCACAACCGGGTATTTCTGGGCAGCTTACCCCTCATCAGCAACAACAGTGGTTTCAGAAACAGCAGTTGTTAGCAATGCAACGACAGCAACAGCGTTTTCCACAGCCTCCAATGTACACCCCACGAGCACGTCCGCCACTACCCATGAATTTTAACCCTCACCAACAGAACTTTCATCCCGACAGTGGGGGCCAGTATCCTTCCTATCAACAACAGCAGCTTCTAATGCAGTCTCAACAATTAAAACAGCAAATTGCTTCCCCAAATCACCCTCCCATGAGCCCTCAGCAAGGTCTGATGGGACATTCCCAGACGGTTGCTGCCGTTGCCTCATCCCAACAACTAATGCGTTCTCCACCTGCCGTAAGGTCACCGCAACCTATTCCTTCTCCTCGCCAGCAACATGCAATGTCTCCTCACCACCCATCACAGACTCACTCTCCTCACCCAGCCCTGACCATGGCAGGTGCTGCACAAGCTTATGACCAGATGGTTTCCACCAATGACATGATGCTTACTCAGCTGTCAAACCCTAACTCGTCCCATGTCGGCATGGTAAGCCAGCTCCAGAACACCGTGAATCCAGAACCTAGCCTTTCTAGAGATGACATGACTCCCCAGGAGCAGCTGAATAAATTTGTAGAAAACCTGTAGCCCTGGGGATGTTTATATGTTTGTGTGTGTGTGTGTATGTAATATAAGAACTCTATTTTGGACTTGCCATGGATACTTTGTGACAAAAAATGACTATGTTTTTGATTTAAATTTAGTGTTTTAATATTTTATACTTAGGTTATAAGTAATAAAAAGCTGGAGATTGTCAGAGGAGAATAATGCAGTATTCTATTAAAACTTCTTTCAAGAAAAGGTTGTTTTATTGACGTCAAAGGTAAGAGCCTTCTCTACAAGTCTTGTTTAAGTGGGATGTACAGGTAGAACAAAATCTTAATATTAAGTTTAGAGATGAGCAGTGTTTGAATTCTTTTTGTTGTTTTTCTTTTTTTTTTTGTTGAAGAAAATTAACATTTGGGGTCCAGCCTCAATGACTTTTGTAAATACCCTATCTTTTTCTACTAACCTTGTATTACTGTGCGCACAATTAAATCATCAAAGCAAATATTTCCAACCAATTTACATATGCACAATTTGATCATGATTTCAAGAATGCGATGAAAAAGTTTTTTTTCACTTGGTAACATCTGCTTCATAGTGACATTCCACTGAAAGTGGGTTGAAATAATGTAAACCACGAAGACTGTGATTTATAAACAATTAAACTGAAAGTATTCATGATTAGTAACTTTTTGATAATCGGTTGGTATCAAGTAGAAACTGATGAAATGTTTTATCTAACGTTGTGTTAAAGAGAGAGAGAGAGAGAGGATACTGTATAGAATCTCGTTTTAGGCGACATGAAATAGCTATTTTCTATCATGGATGTGTAGCAGGGAAACGGGGGTCGGGCTGATCGTTGCAAGCTGTTGAGGAAAGGTTTCTTTTGTGATGGATGTGCTCCTGTACAGTTGGTTGAAAGGTCACAGGTAGTGGACTGAAGAAGGGGGTTGTACATATTGTATACATTTTAAAACTAAAAGTTTGAATAAAAGCAAACGTGAAAAATTAGTTTCACAGACTTGTGTGTGCTTCTTATTTGAAATATCTTCATTGTGATTTCTTCTTAAAGAAAGTTCTTTGTGTGTGACCTTACCGATGTTACATTTCTGAACTGTCTTGTAATGTTCTTTCTTGTGAATTGAAATCATTCGTACCACAGCCCTGACGAAGAAAATATTACTGCATCATCATGACTTTTTTTTTAAATCAGGACAGTTCAAACACAAGACGTATTCTCTTGTCTGACAGATGAGAGTGGTCATAATGGACAGTTCAAACACAAGGTGTATTCTCTTGTCTGACAGATGAAAGTGGTCATAATGGACAGTTCAAACACAAGACGTATTCTCTTGTCTGACAGATGAAAGTGGTCATAATGGACAGTTCAAACACTAGACGTATTCTCTTGTCTGACAGATGAAAGTGGTCATAATGGACAGTTCAAACACAAGACGTATTCTCTTGTCTGACAGATGAAAGTGGTCATAATGGACAGTTCAAACACACGACGAATTCTCGTCTGACAGGTGAGAGTGGTCATAATGGACAGTTCAAACACAAGACGTATTCTCTTGTCTGACAGATGAAAGTGGTCATAATGGACAGTTCAAACACAAGATGTATTTTCATGTCTGACAGATGAGAGTGATCATAATGGACAGTTCAAACACAAGGTGTATTTTCATGTCTGACAGATGAGAGTGGTCATAATGGACAGTTCAAACACAAGACGTATTCTCTTGTCTGATAGATGAAAGTGGTCATAATGGACAGTTCAAACACAAGGTGTATTCTCTTGTCTGACAGGTGAAAGTGGTCATAATGGACAGTTCAAACACAGTATGTATTCTCTTGTCTGACAGATGAGAGTGGTCATAATGGACAGTTCAAACACAAGACGTATTCTCTTGTCTGACAGATGAAAGTGGTCATAATGGACAGTTCAAACACAAGCTGTATTCTCTTGTCTGACAGATGAAAGTGGTCATAATGGACAGTTCAAACACACGACGTATTCTCTTGTCTGACAGATGAAAGTGGTCATAATGGACAGTTCAAACACTAGACGTATTCTCTTGTCTGATAGATGAGAGTGGTCATAAT